GCCTTAACTGAGACGTGGTTTAATTCAAAAAGCCGGGACATGCCTGCGGAATGTCATATTCAGGGTTTTAAATTGTTCCAAGTAGATAGAAGTATCGGGAAGGGGGGTGGGGTGGCATTGTATGTCCGAGATCGCTTGAACTGTTGCATAAAAACGGGTATTAAGTCTGAAGTAACACATACAGAGTCTGTTTGGATAGAATTTTCAGAGGGGCATGAAAAAACTGATTTTAGGAGTGATATACCGTCCCCCAAACTTAGATAAGGACCAAGTGGGAGACTACTATGGGAGGAAATTGTTAAGGCCACAAGGCACGATAATGTAGTAATTCTAGGAGACTTTAACTTTAGTCACATTGATTGGAATTTCTTGACTGGGAATTTAGAATCATACGACTTCTTAGAAGTAGTTTCAGGATTGTTTTTTGAAGCAGTTTGTGGACAGAACCTACAAGGGGAAATAACCTGCTTGACTTAGTTATGGCAAACAATGAATCCCTTGTTAATAATTAGAAATTTCAGAGGAACTGGTGCTAGCGACCACAAATCAATTACATTTAGCATTGAATGGAAGTACGATAGTAGCGATAACTCAGTAACAGTCCCAGATTTTCGCTTAGCGATTACGATGGGCTTAGAAACACTTATCATCTGTTGACTGGGGTAACGAAGTGAGCTATCAATATGACAGTTTTCTGAACACTATACATGCTGCTCAAAGAACGTTATCCCATATAAAGAAATTAGATCAAATAGAAATGACCCAAAATGGATGAATAATAGGCTCAAAAAATCTACTAGGGCATAAGAAAGGAATTTATAGGCGTATCAAAAGAGGTGAGGGTCATCTTATGAATCAGTATATTGACATTAAGAGGGACATTAAAAAGGGGATAAGAAAAGCTAAAAGGGACTATGAAATTAAAGTTGCTAGGGATTCTAAAACTAACCCAAAAAGTTTTTTCCAGGTATATAGAACAAAAGTTAGAGATAAGAAAAGGTCCCCTTAAAAATAACTATGGGCATCTTACTGACAAAGAAATGAAATGTGCTCCATTTTTATATATATTTTCTCTCAGTTTTTACACAGGAAGACACTAACAATATTCCAGTAATTAATTTTTATAGTGGGCTAGAAGATAAATTATGTAACATCACAGTCACTAGTGAAATGGTTGTGAAGCTGATAGACAGACTGAAGCAAAATAAGTCGCCGGGTCCTGATGAGGTTTTTTCAAGGGTTCTTAAGGAATGCAAACTGGAACTCTGTGAACCATTAACTAATATTTTTAATTTATCTCTTCAAACAGGTGTAGTGTCTGATATGTGGAAGATGGCTAATGTAATTCCAATTTTTAAAACAGGGACAAGTCGTTACCGTCAAATTACCGCCCAATAAGCCTGACCTCAATTGTAGGCAAATTACTAGAGTCAATTATAGCTGAGATTATAAGAAGCCATCTCGATAAGCATAGCTTGATTAATGATACTCAGCATGGATTCACAAGAGGCCGGTCTTGTCTAACTAATTTATTAACTTTCTTCAGTAAAGCTTTTGAGGCTGTTGACCACGATAAAAAATTTAATATTATTTACTTAGATTTTAGTAAGGCTTTTGATAGAGTTCCGCACCATAGACTGTTAAAGAAAGTGGCAGCTCATGGCATTGGGGGTAAAGTGCTCTCGTGGATCGAGTCATGGTTCACTGACAGGAAGCAGAGAGTGTCCATAAATGGGGTTAAATCCGAGTGGGGATCTGTAACAAGTGGCGTTCCACAGGGATCAGTCTTGGGCCCGTTGTTGTTTATAATATATATCAATGATCTTGATGAGGGAATTACTAGTGATATGAGCAAATTCGCCGATGACACGAAGATAGGTAGGATAATTGATTCAAACGGGAGATGTTATGGAACTTCAGGAGGATTTAAACAAACTCTATTCTTGGTCAGAAAAGTGGCAGAAGCAGTTCAATGTAGATAAATGCAAGGTTCTGAAGCTTGGGAGTGCCCATAACCCTAGTACTTATAAGTTAAATGATATAGAACTTAGCCATACAGATTGCGAAAAGGACATGGGGGTTATGGTGAGCAGCAACCTTAAACCAAGACAGCAATGCCTAAGCATACGTAATAAGGCAAATAGATTACTGGGATTTATATCAAGAAGTGTAAGCAACAGAAGTCCAGAGGTCATACTGCAGCTTTATTCATCATTAGTAAGGCCTCACCTAGATTATGCAGCTCAGTTCTGGTCTCCATATTACAGAATGGACATAAATTCGTTAGAAAACATTCAGCGTAGGATGACTAAATTAATACATAGCATTAGAAATCTTCCTTATGAAGAAAGATTGAAGACTCTTAAGTTACATTCACTTGTTAGACGAAGAATGAGGGGAGACCTGATCGAAGTGTATAAGTGGAAGATAGGTATTAATAAAGGGGATATTAATAAGGTCTTGAGGATGTCTCTCCAAGAGAGAACCCGCAGTAATGGATTTAAATTGGATAAGTTTAGATTTAGAAAGGACATAGGAAAGTATTGGTTTGGAAATAGGGTGGTGGATGAGTGGAACAGTCTACCTAGTTGGGTTATTGAGGCTGGGACTTTGGGTAGTTTCAAATTTAGGTTGGATAAGTACATGAGTGGGAGGGGTTGGATTTGAGTGGGTGGCATTGAAAATTGGGTTGAGCAAATGTTTTGTTAGTGGGATGAATTGTAAAGGACCTGCCTAGTATGGGCCAACAGGTCTCCTGCAATGTTCCTCCTTTCTTATGTTCTTATGTTCTTATGTACTACCTTCCCTGTATGCTTCCTAAGCCGGAAACTCCTTCCCGCAGAAACGAGATACTCCACCATAGAAAAGGTATGTTTGGCCCTTGTGTGGGGTATCTCCAAACTTAAATTTTATTTGCTGGGAAAAGAATTCATTTTAGAAACGGACCACAAACCTTTGATATACCTAGAAACTTTTAAGGGAACCAACAGTCGCCTCTTGAGGTGGACATTGGCACTCCAGGCTTTTAAGTTCCGTATTGTGTATATCAATGGTTCATCCAATTATTTCTCTGACTGGTTAAGTCATGACAATCAGTAGAAGATTTCTTGCCTTACGTGACTTCCACATGTTAGAACTTTTTCCTCGCCTATTCTTCTTATACTCCTTGACTATAAGTCTTGGTATGGGGGAGTGTGAGGTAAAAGTTCAATAGATAGGAGTAGCGAGGGAGTATATAGTAACAATAGTTTCATTGCCGGCTACTTGTTAAGGTAGGGTAAGTCCAGCTCCCGCTATTCCCGCCTTTTCTCCCCCACCCCAATAGTGATAGTTTGATTGCCGGCTGCTTGTTAACGTAGGGTCAGTCTAGCTCCCGCTATCCCTTCCCCTCCTTCTCCCCCCCCCGAAAGGTGACGTGTGGGGCTCTGGTCAAACAGTAAATCATTCGACTCACAGCTCCCAACACTACTGTAAGTACATGCCTGCCTTGTATTCTAGTGGATTTATTGGTTAAAAGCTTCACTTTTGACTAATAATAAACTTAGTCCTTTCAGTCTTGCTCTAAGTTGACTGTTGTAATAATCACCACGTCTTTTGAGTATTGTACTTATCATGGAGAGTGATTATTTAAGCAGTGGGTAACCTGTCTATCTTTTCAGCTTGGATGACAGAGAGGGTCACCTGTCAATCAACGAGAAGAACTAATAGAGAAGGACTAACGTCCTGAAACGTCCCCTTTTTGGATTTAATTACCTGTGCACCTGTATGAAATTGCAGGACGTAACCCCTCATCATTGCAGTGGTAAAGAACCTGCTTTCCTGTCATCTGGATATAATACTCACGGCTATACTGTGAAGAACTAGCCAGTGGGTCGTAACCAACACCTGCGACCCCCCCCCCCCATCATCAGCGACGGCTACGATTTCAACAACACAGTGTCACCAACACCAGACACCCCTATATATATTAGCGTTGAATTCAGTTATCATTTATATTTTTCATTTTTCATTTTCTTTAATGTAGGATTAATATTTCGTATTTAAGTGTTTTATATTTTATATTTTCTATATAATAAAGTGTTTATGTTTGTCTGTTATTATTTCTTTTTCTATTCATTAATTTTCCTGAGGAGGAGCCAGCCTTGGTAATACTGTCTGAAGTTATTACAGGGCTGAGTAAGCCTTCACAGAGACCAACATTTATAAAACAAAGAGAAATACAGTTTGTACCTCAAGGAATTACGTGCAAAACAAGACTGGATATTGTTATATTTACTATAAGTTACTCTGCTATAGACAGGATAGACAATCTGTGATATGTTATAGTTTAGGAGACGTAGATATTCCACATAAGACAGAGGGAAATAGACAATACTTCTCAGTACAAAGTTCGTGAGGCAGTGGAACAAGCCAGGAAAAGAAGTAAGTGGTATTTAACTCCTTACATGAAATCTAAAGTTTAAATAAACTGTAGTACGTCTAACGACTGTAAGCTAAGAGGAAGGTGTAGGAGTAACTGGCCCACACTCACCTGTCAGGATGAAGACTGCAGAACAGCGCGTATACCTAAATGGGTGAAGACCCTACATTCAACCCTGCAGTCAACCATACTCACCCGAATGAATGGTGACCCTGAAGTCAAACACACTCACCCGTACGAATGGCGACCTGCAGTCAACCACACTCACTCGTATCAATGATAACCGTGCAGTCAACCACACTCACCCATATGGATGATAACCGTGCAGTTGACCACACTCACCTGTATGGATGATAACCCTGCAGTCAACCACACTCACCCATATGAATGGTGACCCTGCAGTCAACCACACTCACCCGTATGGATGATAACCGTGCAGTCAGCCACACTTACACGTATGGATGATGACCCTGCAGTCAAATATACTAACCTATATAGATACAGGCCCCCCTGTTTACTTGTACAGATGAAATGCTCAATCTACTCACCTAGACCAAAAGTTATAGTCACCCACACTCACCTGTATGGATAAAGACGACCTGGCCCTGGTTGACCTGAGCCTGGGTGAAGGCTGACACAGGGTGGGTGAGGTTGGACGAGAGTGCCAGGTACCCTGTGTCTGGGATGGCCGCGCTGATGGTCAGGTTGTGTGGGGGTGTGTCTGGGTCCACCACAGCTGTGGGGGAGACAACGACACTTAATATTATTGTGGTTGTGTGGGGGGTGTCTGGGTCCAGCACAGCTGTGGGGGAGACAACGACACTTAATATTATTGTGGTTGTGTGGGGGGTGTCTGGGTCCAGCACAGCTGTGGGGGAGACAACGACACTTAATATTATTGTGGTTGTGTGGGGATTGTGTCTGGGTCCAGCATAACTATGGGGGAGACAACGACACTTAATATTGTTGTGGTTGTGTGTGGGGAATGGGGGTGTTTATGGGCACAGCACAGCTGTGGGGAGACTGTTTTTGGTCAATTGACAAGAGTTCCTTTTTCTAACTAAATAAGTACCGAGAAGAGCTGGTCTTTACCCAAATTGGAGGACGAGATATGCACGGTATTTCCTTCCCAGATGGTGAGACCTGTGTTGTTGACAACGGAAGGCGCCTCGTCGTTAATGCCTCGCACTGACACATTGACCATAGCTGGTGCGCTCTGTCTTAACCCAGACACGGCCACAACACTAAACGTGTCGTGCAGGCGTTCTGACCCATCATGTACGTACTACGGGAGAGGCAGAGGATATATCTTAGTCTGGGAACCTTGAGGAAGAGAAGAAAATGTTACATAGAGAACATGTGAGATTCATTCCTTGGATATTCAGACACCCAGGACAACGTCACATCCAGACACCCAGGACAACGTCACATCCAGACACCCAGGACAACGTCACATCCAGACACCCAGGACAACGTCACATCCAGACACCCAGGACAACGTCACATCCAGACACTCAGGACAACGTCACATCCAGACACTCAGGACAACGTCACATCCAGACACCCAGGACAACGTCACATCCAGACACTCAGGACAACGTCACATCCAGACACTCAGGACAACGTCACATCCAGACACCCAGGACAACGTCACATCCAGACACTCAGGACAACGTCACATCCAGACACTCAGGACAACGTCACATCCAGACACCCAGGACAACGTCACATCCAGACACGCAGGATAACGTCACATCCAGACACCCAGGACAACGTCACATCCAGACACTCATGACAACGTCACATCCAGACACCCAGGACAACGTCACATCCAGACACCCAGGACAACGTCACATCCAGACACCCAGGACAACGTCACATCCAGACACCCAGGACAACGTCACATCCAGACACCCAGGACAACGTCACATCCAGACACTCAGGACAACGTCACATCCAGACACCCAGGACAACGTCACATCCAGACACCCAGGACAACGTCACATCCAGACACCCAGGACAACGTCACATCCAGACACCCAGGACAACGTCACATCCAGACACCGAGGACAACGTCACATCCAGACACTCAGGATAACGTCACATCCAGACACCCAGGACAACGTCACATCTAGACACCCAGGACAACGTCACATCCAGACACCCAGGACAACGTCACATCCAGACACCCAGGACAACGTCACATCCAGACACTCAGGACAACGTCACATCCAGACACTCAGGACAACGTCACATCCAGACACTCAGGACAACGTCACATCCAGACACTCATGACAACGTCACATCCAGACACCCAGGACAACGTCACATCCAGACACCCAGGACAATGTCACATGCAGGCACCCAGGACAACGTCACATCCAGATACCCAGGAAAACGTCACATCCAGACACCCAGGATAACGTCACATCCAGACACCCAGGACAACGTCACATCTAGACACCCAGGACAACGTCACATCCAGACACTCAGGATAACGTCACATGCAAACACCCAGGACAAAGTCACATCCAGATACCCAGGAAAACGTCACATCCAGACACTCAGGACAACGTCACATCCAGACACTCAGAACAACGTCACATGAAGACACCCAAGACAACGTCACATCCAGACACTCAGGACAACGTCACATCCAGACACTCATGACAACGTCACATCCAGACACCCAGGACAACGTCACATGCAGGCACCCAAGACAACGTCACATGCAGGAACCCAGGACAACGTCACATCCAGGCACCCAAGACAACGTCACATCCAGACACTCAGGACAACGTCACATCCAGACACTCATGACAACGTCACATCCAGACACTCAGGACGTCACATCCAGACACCCAGGACAACGTCACATGCAGGAACCCAGGACAACGTCACATCCAGACACCCAGGACAACGTCACATCCAGACGCCCAGGATAACGTCACATCCAGGTACCGAGGACAACGTCACAGCTAGACACCCAGGACAACGTCACATCCAGACACCCAGGATAACGTCACATCCAGGTACCGAGGACAACGTCACATCCAGACACCCAGGACAACGTCACATCCAGAGACCCAGGACAACGTCACATCCAGACACCCAGGATAACGTCACATCCAGGTACCGAAGACAACGTCACATCCAGACACCCAGGACAACGTCACAGCTAGACACCCAGGACAACGTCACAGCTAGACACTCAGGACAACGTCACAGCTAGACACCCAGGACAACGTCACAGCTAGACACCCAGGACAACGTCACAGCTAGACACCCAGGACAACGTCACAGCTAGACACCCAGGACAACGTCACATCCAAATAACTTAGTGAACGTCAGATCAACTATACAATGTTTATTTTTCTTCCCGGCACAATTCCTTTTCCTGCTCCAGTCACTAACCCAAATAGTCTCTGCTCTTTCACCCACACAGAACAGAACAGCAGTATTGCTGCTGCAACTCACCCACACAGAACAGAACAGCAGTATTGCTGCTGCAACTCACCCACACAGAACAGAACAGCAGTATTGCTGCTGCAACTCACCCACACAGAACAGAACAGCAGTATTGCTGCTGCAACTCACCCACACAGAACCCGTCTCTGCTCTACACACTCAACTATGCAAATCCCAGTAGTTTCTTGTCATCTATCAGATTCTATGCTACAACTGCAGCACATCTTCCTGATACAGCTGCTGCCACTCATCACTTCTAGTCACTGTTACAGCTACTGTTATTTCTTAACACTGGTCATTGCTACGGCTACCGGTCAGTACCGGTCAATGCTGCAACTGCTATTTGTCAATACTAGTCACTATTACAGCTGTTGATAACTGTCACAAGTCATTGCTGCAGCTGCAGTTGTCCACCACAGTCACTACTACAGCTGTTGTCAGTAAGTTCAGTTACTGTTGCAGCTTTCTGCCATTCAGCGCAATTAATTCCTAATACAGGTGCTGCCACTTACCGCAATCAAACCCTGTTGCAGCTGGAGAGGTGTGAAGGCCTCTACTCTCACTCGAGGCCTGGAGGTCAGCTCCAGCTGGCCTGCCACTGGCTTCACCTCCACGAGGTACTGAGCAATCTTGTCGGTGTAATACTCAGTTAAAACCGTCACCACGGACGCTGTCATGATCGTCTGCGAACCTTCGTCTACTTCCAGCAGTCCCGCCCACAGGTAGATTGTCTTGGGGATTACCTGAAGCAGCAACATTGTAGACACTCTTGCAATACAAGAAACAATGCATCTCCATTTACTTCTTTTGAGATATGAATGCAAACTGAAAGAATCATTGTTGAGTTCTTATTTAATACTTCCAGTGTATCTGTAGCATAAATAACAATTACAAATGTCAAGTTATCCGAGATTATTTACACAAAGCCTTAGAAATTACAGCACACAAAGAGCGCTCGCACTCAGAAACTAACATTAAACAGCGTTGCCCGACAGAGTCAGAAACACTCCTAAGTGTGTCCTACTGGGATCTAAATTTATAATGAAGATAAGCCGGTACAGACGGGACATGCTCGGCTGTATATTAGGATGGGATCTCCTACCTGAATACTAAAGATAAGCCGTGAAAGGCTGGAGATGCCGTTGGTTACATCGAAGATAAAGTGATCAGCGGTGACGTTGGTGCCGACCTCCACATACTCGACTTTACCCTGGTCGATGAGTGCCTGGTCGAACTCGCTCACCTGTCACCCAAAAATAATAGAAACACATGCAAGTATAGAGGAAGAAAAACACGATTTTCTTCCGGTTGTTATCCGTTGTGTTATTACCAAATAATAACCCAGGAAGGTAAATCACTGTTGCTTGTTTCCGAAGGGATTCCACAGTTCTCTTTTCCAGAATGTGACCTGCAGTTGTAGGTTACATTCTGGAGGTATAATTTAAGGTATCAGTTTCCTGCTAAGTAAACAGAGGCAGAAGATGTAGAGAGATTTGACCATAAGTCTTACCTTGCCCGAGAAATGAACTAGAATCCTTTCGACTATATGCTAAACGATGTACCACTGAGTTATCAGATAGGATGTGAAAACACTTTGATGACAGATACGCATGAACTCCAATTCTTAAGGCTAGGAATATGATCATTTCAAACTGTGTTACACGACAAGGGATATCATACCATCAATGATGTTGCTAAAGGTAATGAAGACAGGAGTGGAAAACTTTGAATCAACACGTGAGACAAATTTCAAGAATTAGAGGTAGGAATGCGCCAGTAAGATAAGATATAATGTTAACACTGAATAAAACATACAAGAGCAAAACTGTATGTAGAAAACGACAACAGAAGTGGGGAAACGAGAAAATTAATATGGAAGACAGAAATCTACAATATAGAAAGACTATGAAGGTGTGAGGTGTTTCCTGCAAAATTCACTGGAAAAGGGAACTGAAAGGCACGACAGAACAGGAGATGATAGTAATACAAGACAGAATATAGAGGTAAGAAAAAATATACAAGAAAAAAGAGAGCCCGTGGTTCCTCAGGGCTGTAAGGTCACCGCAAGAACCTGAAGAATGTTAAAAAAATGACTAAAGGACAAAAGAAAACATATAAACAAGCTTAGAGCGACTGAGTATGGATGCGAAGAGAAGCTGCGAAACCATTTGAAAAAGGCATATCACATGTGGCTAAAACAAAATCAAAACTGTCTTGTAGAGACCAAAGAAGGAAAGCGTCTATAAAATATCAAGTGACAGAGATGAAGAAACAGAAAATCACAGTTGTAGACGTCAGAGATGTGCGCAAAGAACTAAATGAAAAATTTGGCGAGATATTTGTACAGGCGAGAGACACTTCAGGTAACAAGGAAACAACGATACATCATCCAACACTAAAAAGATAAACAGGCAAAACAAAGGAAGGGGGGAAGGGATGAAGCAGACACTAAAGTAACTGGACCACCATAAGCAATAGACCCGGAAAACGTATCTCCATGAGATCAAAGCAAAGGAGCAAAATGATCTTCAGCAAGTAGCTTGAGACGAGATAATTATCAGACTGCTGAATGCTACCTCAAGCAATTCCATAAAACAAAAGTGATTAAATTACAAATCCAGTTCACTGACATGAAGCTTTTGTTGATTAATGAAATATATTGCCAGGAAGATACTGAAGTATTTAGAGTCAAGTAATTTCGTCAGTGAAATCCAACAAGAATTTAATGATGGTAGAGCCTGTCTGACCAACTTCCAGGAATTTTATGACAGAATTACTGCAATAATCTTTATGGACTGCAAGAAAATATATGACAGTTCCAAAAAAATGAAGAGCAAACACGAATAAAAGGAGAAGTAAAAAAATTAACCCTAGAATATCTTACTAGCTGCCTGAGCCACTCCTGACTTACTAGCTGCCTGAGCCACTCCTGACTCACTAGCTGCCTGAGCCATCCTGACTCACTAAGTGCCTGAGCCAACTCCTGACTCACTAGACTGCCTGAGCAACTCCTGACTTACTAGTGACTGAGCACTCCTGACATTACTAGTGCCTGAGCACTCCTGACTTACTAGCTGCCTGAGCCACTCCTGACTTACTAGCTGCCTGAGCCACTCCTGACTTACTAGCTGCCTGAGCCACTCCTGACTTACTAGCTGCCTGAGCCACTCCTGACTTACTAGCTGCCTGAGCCACTCCTGACTTACTAGCTGCCTGAGCACTCCTGACTCCATAGCTGCCTGAACAGCTCCTGACTTACTAGCTGCCTGAGCCACTCCTGACTTACTAGCTGCCTGAGCCACTCCTGACTTACTAGCTGCCTGAGCCACTCCTGACTTACTAGCTGCCTGAGCCACTCCTGACTCACTAGCTGCCTGAACAGCTCCTGACTTACTAGCTGCCTGAGCCACTCCTGACTTACTAGCTGCCTGAGCCACTCCTGACTTACTAGCTGCCTGAGCCACTCCTGACTTACTAGCTGCCTGAGCCACTCCTGACTACTAGCTGCCTGAACAGCTCCTGACTTACTAGCTGCCTGAGCCACTCCTGACTCACTAGCTGCCTGAACAGCTCCTGACTTACTAGCTGCCTGAGCCACTCCTGACTTACTAGCTGCCTGAGCCACTCCTGACTTACTAGCTGCCTGAGCCACTCCTGACTTACTAGCTGCCTGAGCCACTCCTGACTCACTAGCTGCCTGAACAGCTCCTGACTTACTAGCTGCCTGAGCCACTCCTGACTTACTAGCTGCCTGAGCCACTCCTGACTTACTAGCTGCCTGAGCCACTCCTGACTTACTAGCTGCCTGAGCCACTCCTGACTTACTAGCTGCCTGAGCCACTCCTGACTTACTAGCTGCCTGAGCCACTCCTGACTTACTAGCTGCCTGAGCCACTCCTGACTTACACGCTGCCTGAGCCACTCCTGACTTACTAGCTGCCTGAGCCACTCCTGACTCACTAGCTGCCTGAACAGCTCCTGACTACTAGCTGCCTGAGAACTAGCTCCTGAGACTCCACTCTAGCTGCCTGAGCCACTCCTGACTTACTAGCTGGCCACTCACTATGGCACTGAGCCACTCCTGACTCACTAGCTGCCTGAGCCACTCCTGACTTACTAGCTGCCTGAGCCACTCCTGACTTACTAGCTGCCTGAGCCACTCCTGACTTACTAGCTGCCTGAGCCACTCCTGACTCACTAGGCTGGCCTTGAGGCTCACTCCTGACTTACTAGCTGCCTGAGCCACTCCTGACTTACTAGCTGCCTGAGCCACTCCTGACTCACTAGCTGCCTGAGCCACTCCTGACTCACTAGCTGCCTGAACAGCTCCTGACTCACTAGCTGCCTGAGCCACTCCTGACTTACTAGCTGCCTGAGCCACTCCTGACTTACTAGCTGCCTGAGCCACTCCTGACTTACTAGCTGCCTGAGCCACTCCTGACTCACTAGCTGCCTGAGCCACTCCTGACTCACTAGCTGCCTGAACCCTCCTGACTTACTAGCTGCCTGAGCCACTCCTGACTTACTAGCTGCCTGAGCCACTCCTGACTCTACTAGCTGCCTGAGCCACTCCTGACTCACTAGCTGCCTGACGACACACTCCTGACTTACTAGCTGCCTGAGCCACTCCTGACTTACTAGCTGCCTGAGCCACTCCTGACTCACTAGCTGCCTGAGCCACTCCTGACTCACTAGCTGCCTGAGCCAACTGCCTGACTCTCTATCTGCCTGAGCCACTCCTGATTCACTAGCTGTCTGAGCCACTCCTGGCTACCAGCTGCCAAACACTCCTGACTCACTAGCTGCCTGAGCCACTCCTGACTCTCTAGCTGCCTGAGCCACTCCTGATTCACTAGCTGTCTGAGCCACTCCTGGCTCACCAGCTGCCCAAACCACTCCTGATTCACTAGCTGTCTGAGCCACTCCTGACTCACTAGCTGCCTGAGCCACTCCCCTGCACCCACTAGCTGCCTGAGCCACTCCTGACTCCTAGCTGCCTGAGCCACTCCTGACTCACTAGATGCCTGTAGCCACTCCTGACTCACTAGCTGCCTGAGCCACTCCTGACTCACTAGCTGCCTGAGCCACTCCTGACTCACTAGCTGCTTGAGCCACCCCTGACTCACTAGCTGCCTGAGCCACTCCGGACTTAATAGCTGCCTGAGCCACTCCTGACTCACTAGCTGCCTGAGCCACTCCTGACTCACTAGCTGCCTGAGCCACTCCTGACTCACTAGCTGCCTGAGCCACTCCTGACTCACTAGCTGCCTGAGCCACCCTGACTCACATAGCTGCCTGAAGCCACTCCTGACTCACTAGCTGTCTGAGCCACTCCTGACTCACTAGCTGCCTGAGCCACTCCTGACTCACTAGCTGCCATAGCCACTCCTGACTCACTAGTTGCCTGAGCCAATCCTGACTCAATAGCTGCCTGAGCCACTCTTGACTCACTAGCTGCCTGAGCCACTCCTGACTCACTAGCTGCCTGAGCCAGTCCTGACTCACTAGCTGCCTGAGCCACTCCTGACTCACTAGTGCCTGAGCCAACTCCTGACTCAATAGCTGCCTGAGCCACTCCTGACTCACTAGCTGCCTGAGCCACTCCTGACTCACTAGCTGCTGCCCTCCTCTGAGCCAGTCCTGACTCACTAGCTGCCTGAGCCACATCCTGACTCACTAGCTGCCTGAGCCACTCCTGACTCACTAGCTGCCTGAGCCACTCCTGACTCACTAGTGCCTGAGCCACCTGACTCACTAGCTGCCTGAGCCACTCCTGACTCACTAGCTGCCTGAGCCACTCCTGACTAACTAGCTGCCTGAGCACTCTACTCCTGGCTGACCACCTTCATGCTGCCTGAGCCACTCCTGACTCACTAGCTGCCTGAAGCCACTCCTGACTAAATAGCTGTCTGAGCCACTCCTGACTCACTAGCTGCCTGAGACGCCAACTTCCTGACTCACTAGCTGCTGAGCCACTCCTGACTCACTAGCTGCCTGAGCCACTCCTGACTCACTAGCTGCCTGAGCCACTCCTGACTCACTAGCTGCCTGAGCCACTCCTGACTCACACTCAGCTTCCCATGTGAGCCACTCCTGACTCACTAGCTGCTGAGCCACCTCCTGACTCACACTAGCTGCCTGAGCCACTCCTGACTCACTAGCTGCCTGAGCCACTCCTGGCTCACTAGCTGCCTGAGCCACTCCTGACTCACTAGCTTCCTGAGCCACTCCTGACTCACTAGC